TAGATAATGCATGAGAAAATGAATGTGGCTGTGTTCCATTAAAATTTTATTTACAGAAAAATAGTGATGGCTGGATTTAGCCTTTGGGCTGTAGCTGGCTGACTCCAGTTATATATCCCTATTGTTTTTTTCAATCTGCTTTTCCATGAGTTACTGAGACAATTGTATTAAAACCACTAATTATAATAGTAGATCTGTGTATCTCCATACCATGTCTATGTATCTCATTTCTCTCACTTTGTTTTTATATGTCAGTTCTGTTAGTAAATACTGAACCATTGCTTAGAATGGAAATACAGAGGTAGGTTCCTGTGAGCCTCTGGTCATATTTTCATCAACCACTCAATACATAATTTTGTTTTATGTACCTTTCTGTTTAAACACACCTTAAATAATATTCTTGATTCATAAACATAGAACTAGTGACCAACAGCACAATAACTAATGACAGAACAAACCTTACCTAACCCAGGCATTTTCTCCATGAGGCATATCACAGCTCTCTTGTGCTTAGAAACACTAGACAGCACGTCAGTGCTATAGTTGAGAACTAATTAAAAAGGTGAAATCATCAAGAAAAAGCACAAAAATGTGAAAAATTTGGCCCTAAATAGACTGAGAAAAAGATACTTGTTTATAGTATCAGAACTAAAGAAAGAAGGCAAAATATCACCCTGTTCAACCTCAGCTGGGAACATTTGTGTCAGGCAACTTAAATTTTGTGTTATATTGTATATGTCCATGAGTGACCACAAAATCATTAGGGGTATTGATTTTTAGGCTACAAATAAACTTTAGTGAGTAGGTGAATTCACAAATACATGACATGTGAATAATGAGAAATGATTGTATTTGGAAGCTATGTTTTCAAGTGCAAACCAGTTTAGGCTTATTATATCTTCTGTTGAAAGGACCTTTTTATCATTATAAATTGTTATGCATTGCTTTTATAATTCTTTCTTATCTTAAAATCTACTGTTTCAATGTTAACCACATCAGCTTTCTTTTGGTTAATGATTATATGATATATCTTTTTCCATCCTTTTACTTTCAATCTACATATATCTCTATATAAAAAAATGTGTTTTGGGGCTGGCTGGGTAGCTAAGTTGATACAGCACAGTATTATAACACCAAAGTCAAGGGTTCCGTACCAGACAGCTGCAGGGAAAAAAAAAGTGTTTTCTTTGTTTTTTTTTTTTAATGCTGTCAAATAGTCTTTTCTTTAACTGGATTGTTTAGTCCAGAGGTCAACACATTTTTTTCTGTAAAGGAACAGTAGTAAATATTTTCAGTTTTGACAGCCACGATGTCTCTGATGAAACTTTTCAGTGCTGATGTTTCAGCACAGAAGCAGCAATAGACAATTTTAAATGACTGGGTGTGGCTATGTTCCAGTACAACTTATTTAAAAAGCAGCAAGCCAAATTTGGCCCACAGGCTGTAATTTGCTGACCCCTGCCCTAAAGTATGCCCAGGGTAGTCCATTGGATAAAAAACTGTAGGATGTTTATTTATAATTTTTGGCTACAAAAAGGAGAAAAAACAAAAGTTTCACTAATATATCTATTGATAATACATGTATATAAATTACAAATATATAAATTAACTATGTTATAAACATTTTACTAATTGAGTACTTTCAAAGTATAAGATAAAATTAGATTTAAAATAGTCATCCTTTATATTCATTAACTTTAAGCTCTTTATTGTAAACATGATAAGAATTATTTTCATGGGTATTTTCTGTGCCACCTAATTCTGAACCCTTTAGGTTGAACAGAAATGTGTTGTTACAGGAATTAGTGTCATTCGAGGACGTCACTGTGGAGTTCACGGAGGAGGAGTGGCAGCACATGGGCCCTGCTCAGAGGACCCTGTACAGAGATGTGATGCTGGAGAACTACAACCACCTCGTCTCACTGGGTGAGCATATAAGCATAACTTACCCTTGTAACTCTGTATAGAAGACATTTCCTTTTTATGCGCCAGTACATATGAATACTTTATTTAAAAAGTTAAATATTATTTAGGTTTTTCATTCGTGAGTCTAAAGTAACTAAACCTTTTTGAGGGCTAAAAAGAATGTTTGTGTTGTCAACTCCCAGTGACATATTCAAATGAGCGCCTTCATGATGGTGCTTTTGAAGCTGTATCTTCCACTTTTGGAGACCAAAAAGCTCCAATATCTGCAGTCCTCAACTGTTCCCTATTTACAGGGTACTGCATTTTCAAACCAGAGGTGATCTTCAAGTTGGAGCAAGGAGAAGAGCCTTGTTTCCCAGAGGAGGAATTTTCAAACCAGAGTCACCCAAGTGAGTTACTGAGCAATGGCAGACAGAATTCTGTGGGTAATTAGACTTTAGAAAGTCAGTTTAGGGGTGAACACCTTTGTATTGCAAGACTTTTCTTAGAAAGCCCAAAGGCACAAAAAGCACCAGTCAAAAGAAAGTATTAATAAATTTAAGTCCATTAAAATTAATAACTTTGTTCAGAAAAGATACCATTAAAAGTGCGAAAACACAAGCCACAGAGTAGCTGAATATGTACATAGTGCAAGGATAAGCTTCCTGAAAACATAGAGAACTTCTGCAAGTCAATGTGGTAAGCAACCCAATTGAAAAATGGGCAGAAGACTGGGAACAAGAACTTTTGACGCATATCCACTGACTAGAAGTGTAAACTGGTAAAGCCACTATGAAATCAGGAGGATGTTATCTAGTCAAGGTAAAGTTTTCATACATTGTAACCAGGCAATCCCTTTCTTAACTGTATACCCTACAATGTATGATTGTATTCTCTTGACTGCGTAAAAGAATATTAATGGCAATATTGATTATATTTGTGAAAATTTGGGCTCATCAGCAATAGAACAGAGATATATTTGTATTCTTTAAGGGAGAATCATACAGCCATGTAAAATCTGTGATTACAAACATAATGTTAAGAAAGAGAAACTAAAAAATATAAACATGCATACATGATTACATTTATGTGAAGATCAGGAACAGGCAAAACTCAACAACATTTTTAGGAATTCATATATTGGTAGTAAAACTATAAAGAAAAGCAAGAAAATGATTACATAAATATTAGGAAAGTGGTGAACTCTAAGTGTGAAGAAGTTGTTAGCCAGACAGGGATGAATAGGGATTTTTGCAAAGTCATTTGTGTTCTGTTTCTTTACATGGTTTCTAATTCTATGAGTATTCACTCAATACTGCTAAGTTGCACATAAAAATTTTATGCATATAAATATTGTTTCATGCATAAAGTGTTAAGAGATGAGCCAGAAGTAGCAGATATTTCCAGTATAACCTATCAAGGACGGGCATTTAGAATACATAAAGCGTTCAAACCTTTCTTAAATGTCATCTTTGCAGGAAGGCCTTCCATGATACCCCATTTAAAATTACACCACTCATATCAGATTGAAATATGAAAACTTACCACAGGATGGTCAGGTTCACTTATTTTTCATTTCTGATAGAATAAATCAGAGGTACAATAGCCAGAATGGAGCGGTAAATCCAATTTAGTTTAGCAAAAATGGATTTTCTTTTCATCAGTTTTATACTTGTTTGTTTCTGTGAATCACAGCAATGGGTTAGAGCCTGAGCTACAAACGTCTTCATTTAATCTCAAGGAAGTTGGTCCCATTATAAATTTAATTTGATGTTGAAGAGTTAATAGAAATGAGGAATATCAAACTGGAAGAGTGTAGACAATTGAGTATTCTACCAGTATAGTCTAGACAGTGTCAGGACCTAGACTGTAATTTACCTCCTCAAAACACACCCTTCCCCTGTTGGGCCTATTCTGTGAATACAATTATCTCCTGACTTTTCTTGTTCCTCTACTTAACTCTTTATCTTCATTTTATTCCTCCCATTCTCTGATTTTCTTGCTCCCTGAAATAACCACCTTTATAAAACTCTAATTTCTGCCTTCCTTTTCTTTCCTTTATCTACTCAGGAAAAAAGTATGTCATATGCAGACTTGTATTCATTACCAATTTTCTCTCCCATTTGCACTATGTTGATATTTTTTAAAGGAGGGAAGTTGTAGGCATACACACACACACACACACACACACACACACAATCTTGAGAAACAAGAGAATGAAATGCAACATAGGCTATATGTCTGTAAGCCCTACCCATAACAGATGTAAGATTCATAAGATGTTTTCAATTTTCTCAGTTTTAAAAGATTACAAAGATAATGACCTGATCAAGAGGAACAAGAAAATCAAAGGCAAATACTTGGAGCAAGTAATAATTATCAATAACAGAACCCTGACTAGAGAGAAAGTTTGGGGAAAACCATTTAATCTGCACATAGCTCCTGTTTCTTCAACAAAGATGCCCTGCAGATGTGACTCATCAGGAGTGAAATTGCAAAGTATTTCTGAACTTATCATTAATAATAGAAACTATTCAACAAAGAAAGGTTGCTATAATGTATGTGAGAATTTGCCTTTCAAAATTAAGTTTGAGAGAACTCAGACTGGAGAGAAATTTTATGAATATAATAGAAACATGAAAGCCCTCAGTTATAAAGAAAATCTTCCTGAGCATCAAAAGTTTCAAACTTTGGAGCAAGCTTTTGAATGTAATGCAGTTGGGAAAACCTGTGATACTATTGACTGTTCCTGTAAATATGATGAAGTTAGTAAACACTGTAATATGAGAACTCTCTTTGACCACAAGAAAACTGACACAGGGGAGAAACACCCCCATCTTAAACAATGTGGGAAATCTTTCTTTGAAAAGCCATCTGTGGAGGAGTACAATAAATGTAACATGGCTGTGAAACATTATGAATGTAACACAACTGGAAGTAATTTCAGCAGGAAGTCGCACCTCACTCAACCTCAGAGAACTGTAGCAGGAGAGAGTTCATTGGTATGTGGTGACAGAACACAAACTGGGGATAAATCCTTTGAATATCATGAAAATAGGAAATCCTACCAGATATCGGCCTGCAAAGTACGCCAGAGAGTGCATTCTGAGATAAAACCCTATAAATGTAATGAATGCGGGAAATCCTTCTGTCAGAAAGGACATCTCATTCAACATCAGAGAACTCACACAGGAGAGAAACCATTTGAATGTAATGAATGTGGAAAGACTTTCTCCCAGAAGTCACACCTCAGTACACATCAGAGAATTCATACAGCAGAGAAACCCTATAGATGTAATGAATGTGGGAAAACTTTTGTCCAGAAGTCAACTCTCAGGGGACATCAGAGAATTCACACAGGAGAGAAACCCTATGAATGTAGTGAATGTGGGAAAACTTTTGTTCAGAAATCAACCCTCAGAGATCATCATAGAATTCACACAGGGGAGAAATCCTTTCAATGTAATGAATGTGGAAAGACTTTTGGCCAGAAGTCAAACCTCAGAATACATCAGAGAACTCATAGTGGGGAGAAAACTTATCAATGTAATGAATGTGAAAAATCCTTCTGGCGAAAAGACCATCTCATTCAACATCAGAAAACTCACACAGGAGAAAAACCATTTAAATGTAATGAATGTGGGAAAACTTTTGCCCGGACATCAACCCTCAGAGTGCATCAAAGAATTCACACTGGGGAGAAACCATTTAAATGTAATGAATGTGGGAAAAATTTTGTCCGGAAAGCAATCCTTAGTGATCATCAGAGAATTCATACAGGGGAGAAACCCTTTCAGTGCAATAAATGTGGGAAAACTTTTGGCCAGAAATCAAACCTCAGAATACATCAGAGAACTCACAGTGGGGAGAAAACTTATGAATGCAATGAATATGGGAAGTTGTATAAGAAGTCAACTCTTAGGTGCATACCAGAGAATTCAGGGAGAGGGGAGCCCTACTGATGTAAGTACTGTAGAAAGTCCTTCTGACAAAAAGACCGCCACAATAGACATCAGAAATAGTCATGGGAAAAACCAGATGAATGCAGTGATTGTAAGAAAACAGTCCCAGAAGACAGTCCTCACAATATATCAGAGAATTCCCACAGGAGAGAAACCATATGAATATAGGAAGAACTTGTCCAAAAGGCAATCCTCAGGGTATATCAAAGAATTCACACAGGCTTCTGTTTCGTTCAAGGAACTATGGAAAGTCCTTTTGAATGAAGTCATACCCCATTAGATAACTCACACACATCACACAGGTACTGATCTCTCCACCAGTGCCAACTTTATTTTTCCTCTAGGCACATAGCTGTTCTAAATTCCCCAATCTCTCTTTCCTCTAAGTGGGGCTTTGACTGGAATGTGGGTGCCCAGGATGTACACCACATCCAGGACTTGCCTAACAAATTGCCAGGGCCCTGTCATAAAGAAACTGGTGCAATCTTGAGGACAACCTTAGTGTGATACATTAACATGGCACAGCATGAGATAAAAGTACCCAGGGCTACCGAATACATCTGTGGAGCAAAATTCTTCCCTTCCACATCTTTACCATTTGAATATCTCCTGAGGAAACTGGTGCAATCTTGAGGACAACCTTAGTGTGATACATTAACATGGCACAGCATGAGATAAAAGTACCCAGGGCTACAGAATACATCTGTGGAGCAAAATTCTTCCCTTCCACATCTTTACCATTTGAATATCTCCTGAGAAAAATTTAAGCTTGTATTTTATTGACCTCTTACATGTTTGGGTCTATTTGTTCCTACATGTAATTTAGATATCCTTCTGCTAGGAAAGCAGGGAACTGCTGTGTAGGCCAAACTTAAGTCAGCCAGAAGGTTCAGACCTTATCACAAGGTTACTAAGTCAAGAAGTCCCTCAAAGATTATAAGGAAATTTATACAATAAGCATCCTTTCAGTGCAATGAAATAGGTGGTACCACCTGATACAGGGCTTTGGATGGACCTAAAATGTTAGATGTTTTATTGGTTGAAAGGTGAGCAGCCACCATGCAGCTCTAAGTAAATATGCCTTGTTGTTGACACAAAGCCACTCTTTACATCTCCTGACACCTTTGTATACCCCAAGCACAACTACTTTAAGGAGAAAAAGGTTTCCCTGCTCCAAAGGAGACCAAAGGCTGTTGGCGTCCATTCGGGTATTCTGGGGGAACTTCCGAGGAGGGGAAGGACTCAAACTTTTATCAATCCAATGGATACAACTATGGAGTGTACATAAAGCAAATGTATTTCACAGGGCCTGGTTTTCCAAAGCCTTGCAGTTTCAAATGTTAACCTTGCAAGAGACAGGAAACTTTCCCCAGGCCATAGTCTCTGTTGTAAGATAAAGAACTGTAACACAGCAATGTTGCTGGCTCAAGGACAGACAAGTTACTGATTAATATGTAAAGATACTGGGAAGGGATTGCTGTAAGAAGAGAGAATGTTTGCTAAGATCAAGCTTTTGTTGGTGGGTCAACTTAACCTCTTACAAATTGCATTATGGAATGACACTTTGCTTGTTACCAGCCTCTATTGTTAAACTATTACCCCACCTATGTTCTTTTTCTGTAACTTTCTGGCCTGGAAAATAAATGTGGGGAGAGAACCCCAATTCATGGTTAATTTCCCAAAAGGAAGGAATGCCTCTCTCTTGAGGGTACTGGGAGATTAACCCCTTTGGGGCTTCTCACTGCTCGGAAGAGGTGGGCTTTGAGTACTCCTTTTTGTGGCTCCATCACCCACAGGAAGAGTGGTGATAAATCCATGGGAGACAAAGCAACAGCAAACAAAGCAGTAAAAGAGGAATTGCGGGGGAGGGGAAGCCACAGAAAACAAATGTAAAATGACATAAAAATTGAACTATATCAATAATAAAATTAAATAAGTGGATTAAACAATCCAGTAAAAAGGAAGAGATGGTCAGATCAGTTAACAGAAAAAAGATCCAAGTATATACTGTCTAAGGAGACACAAATTAGATTCAAAGATACAAAAAGACTGGAAGTAAGGAGATGGAAAAAGATATTTCATCCAAACAGCAACGAGAAGAAAACTGGAGTGGCTATAGTATTAGACAAAACAGACTTTTAAAAAAATGTTATTAGATATAAAGAGAGACATTTTATAATAACAAAATGGTCAGTCCATCAGGAAGACACTATAACAATTATAAACACATATGCACCTAACAATTGAGCCAAAACTACATGAAACTAAAACTGATAGAAATGAAAGGAGAAATAAACAATTAAACATTAATAGTTGGAGACTTCACTGACCCACTTTAAATAATGGATAGAATAACCAGACAGAATATCAATAAGGAAACAGAGGATGTGAACACTATAAATCAACTAGACGGTAGACATACACAGAAAACACTGTACCCAATAATTTCAGAATACACATTCTTCTCAAGTGCACATGGAACATTCTCCAGAATAGACCATATATTGGGCCACAAAACAAGCCTCAATAAACTTAAAAATATCGAAATAATACTATCTTCTGTGACCCCAGTGAAATGAACTTTGAAATTAACAAATTGGGAAACTTACAAATATGTGGAAATAATTAATGAATCAAAGAAGAAAGTAACAAGGGAAAGTAGAAAATACCTTGTAATGACCGAAAATAAAGGCCCAACATACCAAAATTCATAAGATGAAGCAAAAGCAGTGCTTAACAGAAAATCTATAGCTGTAAACTCCTATATAAAAAAGGGGAAGGTTCATTTTTCAATCTCTGTATTGGCCAACCACCCCCAAAAAGGGGAGGGGTGATATCAATAACCTAAACAGCTATCCTAATACAAAGGAAAAAGAAGAGCAAACTAAATTTAAAGCAAGTAGAAGGAAAGAAAAAATAGAGTGAAAATTAAAGAATAGAAAAATAAAGAAAATTAATAAAACCAAAAGCTAGTCTTTGAAATGATTAACAAAACTGACAAATCTTTCCAAATCTTTACTTAGATTAACCAAGATAAAAAGAGAGAAGATTCAAATTTTTAAAATCAGAAATGAAAAAGGGGACATTACAGCTGACTTACAGAAATTTTAAAAAATGATTATACAGGAATATTATGAACAATTTTAAGTCAATAAATTAGATAACAGCAAAATTAACAAATTTCTAGAAAGACAGAAACTACAGAAGGTAGGTCAAGAAGACATAGAAAATCTAAGTAAATATAAATCATTAATTCAAAAACTAGCCACAAAGAAAAGCCAATGCCCAGATGGCTTCACTGCTAAATTCTACTGTTTAAAGAAGAATCAATAACGATTCTTCACAAACTTCCAAAAAATAGAAAAAGAAACACTTCCTATCCCACTCAATGAGGCCAGTATTACCCTGATACCAAATCCAGATAAAGACAAGAAAACTACAGACCAATATCTCTAATGAATTCAGATGTAAAAATCCTCATCAAAATACTAGCAAACAAATCTAGCAATATATTATATGTTTTCTACATCATTATTAAGTGGGATTAATCCCAGGAACACAATATTCGAAATCATGGGAGGAAAGAGCTAAGGTGTTTGTGTATCAAACTGTTATGGCAGAAAACAAAACCTATAGGGAGAGACCCACAATCAACTCCTTACTTCCTCAGGTCTGAGACCTCCACAACAAGCCTGCCAGGGGACAGAGCTTATACTTTAAGGTCCAGAACACAAGGAAACTCAGGCAGAAATTTGAACCCCAAGATGCTGTAGCCCAGGACCTTGCCAGCTTGTCACTTTGCCTATCTCCTCCACATTCCATGCTCCAATTTTCTTCTTCCCTAAAAAACTCCCACAGGAACTCTTGAAATTGGTTCCTTGTTAAACTCAGGGCAGGATCCAAAAGAAACCTGCAGGTCTCCAATGAACCACTTCTGTAATCCCTAATAGGCCTCTGAGGCTCCAGAAGTCCCATGGCAGATCATGTCACCAGTTGATAGGTTTCAAAATGGATCTGGGATGAGTGCTCCTGTAGGTCCTCCTCAGCCTTTCAGGAGTGTGGCAGCAGCAGGCAGTGCCCCACGTATCCATGTTCTTTACATCCCTGAGGACTGTACATGGTCTGAAGGACAAGACCGTCAGGAACCAAACTACCTTCCCGAAACTGAGACTCCTCGGGAATCTCCCTGTTCTCAGCCACACAGTTTGGGTGGGATTGACTCTAAAGTCACCAGTAAGGATATCCCTGATTAGCTTAATCCAGCAAATCTATCCCTCTGTCTCTAGTGACTGGCTCAGAGATAGGTATGACAGTATGTCAATTTGCTTTTGCTGCAAAACCAAACTATCCTGAAATTAAATGGGATAGTTTAAAACAACATTTGTTATTTCTCACAGTTCTGTGGGTAGGCAGATGGTTCTTCTGTCCTGGAATGGTTCAGCTAAGGCCAGATGGTCTAAGTCTTACGGTGTCCTCACTTTCATATTTGGCAGTTGGAAGGCCAGTTGGTCATGGACTTGAGGTGGTGCTCAGCTGGGACCACTTATTTCTGCTCCATGTGGTGTCTTAATCTCTAGGCTTCTTCACATGGGGGGCTCAGAGTTCCAAAGAACCATTTTCAAATCTCTACTTGCATCACACATAAAAGGTGTCACATTGGCCAAAGCAAGTTACATGTTCAAACCCGACTGACTGTGGGAGAGAAGTATGCATGGGTGTGGTTACAGGGAGGTGTGAACAAATTTGGGGTCACTGTAGCAACAATCTACCACACCCAGTATTATCCAGGAATCTTGAGTCCTGAGAAAGACAAGCTTCTAATCTCTGCCTTGGGGCTAGTTGTGAAGATCCTTCCCATGGTCAGTGTGGTATAAGGATGTGAGCCATTTTGCAACCATGAGAAGAGAATTTAGAGCTGCTCAGGTGGGGTGGGGACAAGGGATCAAGTACAGAGTAAGGATTAAAACAGAGCAGAGGGACAGAAAGAAACCAGGATCCTCCTGACATTGTTAGAGCTACTAAATGAATCAAGCTCTCCTAAGGACTTTTCAGTCACATAAGCCATTAAGTTTCCTTTCTTTTTTTTTTTGTCTTTTGTCTTTTTTTGTCTTTTTCCGTGTCCGGCAATGGATCGCAACCCTCAGTGTTGCCCCCGGACCGGACCGGGGACCGGCAACGGGATTGCAACCCTCGGCGTTGCTCCCGCGCCTCGCTCAGCCAGTGAGCGGGAACCGGTCTGTTCGTGGGATCCTAACCCTCGGGCGGGAGCGCCGCCGCGCTTCCCAAGC